TTCTGCTTTTTTAGGATTTGTCTTTTTTTTTTTTTTTTGGTGGAACCGGGGATTGAACTCAGACCCTTGCGCTTACCAGGCAAACACTTATTCTACTGAGCCATCTCCCTGGCCCTTTGTCTTTTTTTTTTTTTTTTCCTTTGTCTTTTAATTATAAATTCTTCTACTTTTATCATCATCACCACCATCACTGTCGTGCTAGGGGTCACATTGAAGTCCTTGTGCATGTCAAGTGTGCACTCTCCTAGTCAGCCATATCCTTAACCCCAACAATAATTATAAATGTAGTTATTTTTGCTTTTCTTTTGATTGTTCCTTGGTGTGCTAATTCTTCTGTCCATTGTGTATTCTGATTTTCCCTTGTTATGAACTGTTGCCTCATACGGGCTGTAACTTTTTTTTTTTTCTTCTCAGAACCAGGGATTGAATTCAGGCCCTTGCGCTTGCCAGAGAAGTGCATATTCTACTGAGCCATCTCCCAGGCCCCCCGGGCTGTAACTTTTTATTGTGAATTTTGTGAATTCATATCCTGTAGGGGTTATTTTCTGTGACAGGCTTATTCCTAGGTTGCTAACTAGCTTTTTTGTTACATTTGCCAAGGATTTTTTTATTTAATGATTTGGCATTTCCTTTCCATATTTTGGACTACATGTTCCTTGAAATTTCAATTTTGATGTGGTTCTGTTTTGCCTGTAGATCCTGGAGCGGGTGATATGTTCCCTTGCTGCTTCCATAGCCTGCTGGGTCCTTGTTTTCTTTTTTTAAAAAAAATCTTATTTGTTTATTTATTTATTTGGTACAGGGTCACACTATGCAGCTTGGACTCGTAATGGACCTCCTGTCTCAGCCTCCCCAGCACTGGGATTTCTGGTGTGCGCCACCACACCTGGTTTTGGTGGCCTGCTCAGTGCAGGGCCAGCATGACACTTGGTACTAGGGATCGAGATGGGGTCCTTGTGCTTGCCAGGGAGGCTGTTAGACCACCAAGCTATCTCCCTGGCTTCTAGGTCCTTGGTTTCTTTTCTTTTGTGTGCGTGTGTGTGTGTGTGTGTGTGTGTGTGTGTGTGGAGTTCCTTGTTTTCATGGAGCTCATGTGCTTAAGGATCCTGGCTATGTATAGGGTCACATTTCCAGTTAACCAATCTATGAAGGCCGAAGGCCACGTGTTAGTCAGTTTCCCATTGCTGGGACAAAATACCCAGTGTACACAACTTAAAGGAGAGATTTGATTTGGCTCACAGTTTCCAGAGGGCCCAGTCCTTGGTTGTCTGGCTCAAGGCAGAAAGCGCATGGCAGAAGGCTTGGTGGAGCAAGGCTGTTCAGTTGGCGTGGCCTGTGGCACCAGGGTTCAGGTCCTGGTCTCTGTACTTGCCTAAGCAGGCCCTTAGTCCACTGAGCTATCTTGCCAGCCCTCTAGTCTTTCAGTCTGTGGCAGCAAGGAAACAGAGAGGGGGAGGAGCAGGGAGAGGACACACCCTCCTAGGTCACACCCCAGTAACTCATCCCCAAGCAGGTGAGCTTGCGTAGGGCTCCAGGCTCATCGGTGGGCGAACCTCTGGTGAGTGTGGTGCTCCCAGGCCCCGTCACTTTCCATATGAATGAGCTTCTGAGAGGACCCTTGAGCTCTAGACCACAGTAGCATATTGTGTCCTCATGTTAGCGTTAAACCCCTGTTCCTCAAGGCCTGTGTCCAAATCAGACACCAACCTCAGCCTCTTAGTTCGGTACTTTGGCTTCATATCTTGTTTCTGGCACTTGAGGATTTTTCTTCTTGGCTAAGTTCGGAAAAATTATTATTATTTTTTGGTTGTTATAATTGGCACTGTGTATCAGTCTAGTGTTTATCTTCGTTGGCAGATCTGAAGAGTGGTCATATTTCCTCTGGTAAGTATATTATGTGAAGTTTTGTATGTACTTCTTTAAAGCTAAAATTTCTGGAATTTGTATTGGTATGTACAGAATTTCAGTATTGCTAATTAGCATCAAATATAATTTCCATTAAAGTTTAGCAGTTCCACTGATATCGGATATGATTATTCATTTAGAAATAGTGTTAATTAAAAAAACTGTCAGCCCCAAATCTGCCAGATCAATCAGTGTGTCATTATTCAAGTTGGCCTTCCTTAAAGCTGTAGGGCAGGGGCGTAAAGCACCTGAATTCTTTGTAACTGTATAAGAATGGTGGCCTTCATGCTTCTGTTTTCAGTTGGATCACCGTTTCCTTCTGAGTTGCCTAGTCTCCTCGACTCAGAGACCACCAGAAGACCCTCTGCTTATAGTGTTCTAGTCCGTCTGTCTGGCTGTCTTTCTTTCTAAATGTGTTTGGTCCAGGGTCTCACTACACAGCTCAGACTCATAGTGAACCTCCTGTTTTCAGCCTTCCCAGTGCTGCGAATACAGGCCTGCACCACCATACCCAGACTTAGTGGCCGGCTCAGTGCACCTGAGGGCGGGACCAGCATACCCTGTGGCACCAGGGTTCGAGCCCCGTTCCCTGTACTTGCCTAAGCAGGCCCTTAGTCCACTGAGCTAGCTCACCAGCCCTCTAGTCTTTGTTTTAGCCTAGCTCTCCATACTCTTCCATCTTCTGGCTGTTACTGAATTCCACAGTTGTAACAATAACCACACTTAGAATTGAATTTCTGTATTAGTCTGTTTTATATTACTATAATGAAATTCTGAAGGCCAGGCACTTTATAAAGAAAAGAGAATAATTTAGCTCAGCCTTAGAGGTTCAAGAGCACAGTACCACCCATGCAGCTCTGGGGAGGCCTCAGGGCAGATGATATCTTGGTGATGGGAGTGTGCATGCACATGAGAGGCCCTCTGATGAGAAAGGAAAATGCGATGGGGGCAGGGAGGCAGGCTTGCGTTGTTTGTGGTGTGTGTGTGTGTATATGTGTGTATGTGTATGTGCTTACCTGTGTGCACGCATGTGTGTGTAGGACAAAAATTGAACCCAGGGCCTTTGGACTGAGCTACAGTCCCATCTCCAGCACTTTCTTTTTTTTTTTTTCCCAGCACTTTCTTAATTTTTTATTTTGAGATGGGACTTGCTAAGTTGCCCACACTGGGGTTGAACAGGCTTGTACTTAAAAAAAAAAAAAAAAAAATTGTTATAGGGTGTTACACAGCTCAGAATTGTAGTGATCCTCTTGTCTCAGCCTCCCCAGTACTGGGATCATAGGCGTGTACCACCACACCTGGTTTTGGGGCCCGAAGTAGGGCTGGCACAGCATGTGGTACCGGGCATCAGACTCAGGTCTTTGATTGCTGAGCTGTCACCCCTGCCCCAGGGTTGCACTTTGTGTAGCAGTCCTCTTATGAGCACTAGTTCAGGAGTCCTGTGAGAATTATCCTAATCTCTTCTGAGAGCAGTGTCCCTGGTGTCCTGAGGACCTTCCACTAGGCCTCATCCTGCAGAGGTTCCACCACTTCTTTATTATTATTATTATTATTATTGTATTTAGTGCAGTGTCTACAGGGTCTTACTACACAGGTTGGACTCGTAGTGATCCTCCTGTTTTCAGCTTCCCAAATGCTGAGATTACAGGCATGCGCCACCACTCCCAGTCTCAATCGCCCTCTCAGGCACCCCCAGGGGTGGGGCTGGCATGGCACACCAGGAATCGAACCCTAGCCGCTTTGCTCTGCCAGAGCAGGCACTTTAATCTGCTGAGCTATCGGGCGGGCCTTTTTTTTTTTGGCTGGCTCAGGCTGCCTAAAGAGCAGGTCTGGTACAGCATGTGGTGCCGGGGATTGAACAACAGTCCGCTGAGCCTGACTGAGTTTGCCCAAGCAGGCACTTTAGACAACTGAGGTATCCTACCAGCACCCCCACCCCACCACTTCATTTTTTTTTTTTTTTTTTTGTGGAACTGGGGATTGAATTCAGGCCCTTGCACTTGCTGAGGAAGCACTTATTCTACTGAGCCATCTTCCTGGCCGCTGTTTTCTTCCTTTTTTTTTTTGGCAGAACTGGGGATGGAACTCAGGCCCTTGTGCTTACCAGGGAAGCGCTTATTCTATTGAGCCATCTCCCTGCCCTTCCCCCCCCATTGCCATGCTATTGGCCAACCTTTCAACACATGAACCCGGAGGGGACAGACCATGTCCGAACTGTGGCACCCTTGCTCTTTTCCTATTCCTGCTCATGTTCCCTTTTATTTGAATTAAGATTCAGCTTGTCAAGTTGTTAAGGAGTCTGACTGGGATTAGATTTATACATTAATTGGAAGATTCTTAGCAGCTTTGCAAATTTGAGTCTTTTCTTTCAAGAACATGGAATTCCTCTCCAAATGCCCCCAGCCCCCTTCAGTAAAGATTTGTAAAGATTTTACACATTTTGGACTCATTTTTGTTCGTATTGTGAGTGGGATTGTTTATCCCATAGCTTTCCTGATGGATTATCTTGTTGGTGCCATGCTAGGTGAGGCCTCTGAGCTACACTGCAGCCTTTCCTGACAGATTACTGTTAATTGTGGATGGGCTGCATCCCAGCTTGGTTTGGACTTGGCCTTGTTGGGTCTTAGATGCTGCTACATTATTTCCTTCTGTGATGTTCCCCATTAGCTTGGGATTCTAAACTCATTAGTTTGTATCTTCTGCAAAACCAAGCTTTCACAAGAGATTTTTCCTCTTTACACTCTTCGTGGAAATATTGAGCAATAAGATTGTACTTAGGATTTATCTCCAAAGTGCCGTCATGTTTATACTTCTTCATTTAAATAAAATTAAATTCAGTCCTGCTCTAGTCTAGTGCAGGTTTCCAGGAATTCTAATGATTGTGTTTCTCCACCTAGAGAAGTCTCTCTGCAGCCAACCCCGTCGTTCTGTATCTGAGCGAGCTCCTGTTCTTAGCCCTGGGGTCCCCCGTGTTAATCCTTTCCACCACCCAGTCCCCTCTCCCCGTGTCTTCTCTGTCCTATCCCCTTTCCTTCTTTTTCTGTCTTTTTGAGCTCAGTAGTAGGGGCTAACGTCTGAACTTCACTTGTCCCCAGCCAGGACATCACAGGTGACATTTACTACTTCAACTTTGCCAATGGGCAGTCCACGTGGGACCATCCGTGTGACGAGCACTACCGGAGGCTGGTGGTTCAGGAGCGGGGGAAGCTGTCGGCTTCTGGGGTGGCTAAGAAGAAGGACAAGAAAAAGAAAAAGGAAAAGAAAGACAAGAAGGACAGAGAGGCCTCCAGAAGCCCTGTGGTGAGCAGTGGGTGCCAGTTCTGAGAGGTGGGGCTGAGACCTGCGGCTGTTGGGTTGCACACGGCTGTAGGTGTGTGTAGCCAGGAGGCCCAAACGGCAGTAAGAAACTCTCGATAGTGTGTCACTTAAAGTTTTCTTATCTTCTGGCAGTTGTTCCTGTCCTGAAACAGTTCCACTTCTTTCTTTCTGGAGCATGTGTGGCATAAACAGGCTGGTAGGAGAGCAGCACTGCCAGCCGTGGTGTTCCACGGTAGTCTAAGTGTGGCATCTGCCACTGGCGTGGGGACAGGCATTTTGGGAGGCCAGAGAGCCTCCTGAGCAAGTGTGCTTCCTGGGTGTCTGGGTGTCCTAGCGTGGGCTGGTTATTTGCTTAAGGCGGTATGAATTCAGTTATGAGAACACCAGTACCTTCAGGATTCAAAAGAAAAGCATTGAGCCTGATCTACTGCCCAGCTTTTCTTTGTTGCCAGTGTCTGTGCTTAGTGGTGGATAACTGGAGTTTAGTTGCAGCGTGATCACGGTGGTGTAGCGTAGCTTTTGTACTGAATTCTGAGTGTCTTGTAGTCATTGTTGTTTTGTTACGTTAGCATCTCTGAACTTAGGAGTGGAAGTTACTACCCTCATTTTAGGCGGAGCAGGTTGGGAAGTGTAGGGAGCTGAGACCCAGGCTGGCCCACGTGTAGGTGTTACAGGGACTGGGCCTGCTTCCCTTCCCTCAGGCAAGGGGCTGTGGGCACATTGAAGAAGGGGCAGGGGTATGTGTATGTGGAGGAACTCAGTCCTGTCAGGTAGGGAGCGCTGGGTACATTTTTTCACCCTCTCAGTGGTCCAGGTTCTTTTGTCTTTTGTTGTTGTTTTTGTTTATAGTCTATTTCTCACCGGAACCTGCCACTTCTCACTGAAGATTTTGTCCATCTCTATTTTCCAGTACTGGGGATCGAACCTAGGGCCTCACGCATGCTAGGTCATACTCTTATCATGGAACTACACCCTCTGCCGTGTTCTTTCCTAAGCTGTCAATCCTGGCTTTCAACAATTGTTGACTAATTTAGCCTTTTTATCATGTTCAAGCTTTGTTGATACCCCTTGCCTACCTGCATATTCCTCATCGTTCTGAGAAATAAGTCAACAAGCCCATTTCTGTAGATGGAGAAAAGAGGGCAGGTGATTTCCAAATAGGTTGAATTTTCTAAAATATGTTTGAAAGGCAAAAGTTGGCAGATAGGCTTTTCACTAACCAGGATTATGTAAAGTAATACTCGGGTCTGTGGAGGCTCTGGCATGACTACAGGTAGGAGAGGAAATCAAGTGAGGGCTCTAGGGTGGGGCTTGGGTGACACACTGAGTTCCTGCAGACCCCTGTTAAAAAGAATCTCTTCTGTACTTTGGAGAAATCAGAGCAGTTGGACAGCTTTGGGTTGTCAGTCTGGTTCTTTGGGCTCAGGAAAATCGCCTTTAGCTTGAGTTTGTCTGGGGGACAGGCCTGAATGAGCTGGCTTAGGCAGGTTGGTTCCCCTGGAGGTGTGCACTCCCAGCTGGAGGGCAGTTAGTGTGCATGTCTGCAGGAGCTGTTGGTTTTTCTAATGGTGTTTTCTACGACTGCTTAGGCATCTCCTAAGCCGTACCTCTGCTAGAAGACGCTAGAGAGAGTTCCCTAGGCTCAGGCAGTGGGTGTGCTTCCCCCTCTTTTCTCCCTTGTTGAAAATTTCTGGGAGATCTTGTTAAAAGGGAGGTTTTATAAAGTAAATGAATCACAGAATCTGTGAGCCAGGTAGCACCTTAGGGACAACCTGGCTAAAGACTTTTGGACTTTTGTTAATAGTAGAGACCTGTCTTCAGACCAGTTTCTCTGAAGAAGTATAGCTTATAACGAGAGAAATGGAGACACTCTGATTGAAGCTGGGGATGTGGGCCTTGATGGTGCCTGCTCTCTGTCACATGTCTTTTTTTTTGGGGGGGGGGCTTTTTTGAGACAGCTATGCAGTCCAGGCTGGTCTTGAGCTCACTTTGTAGCCCCGACTGGTCTTGAACTTGCAACAGTTCTCCTGGTTCAGCTTCTCGAGTGTTGGGATTACAGGTGTGCACCACCACACCTGGCCACCTGGCCATTTTGTAGGGTTCCCCTTTGTATTGAGTCTCCTGTGTACCATGGATCAAGGTTTGCATGCTGTAGATCTAGACCAGCTTCTTTGTAGAGAAGGTAACTGGAGTCTAGAAAGCAAGTATTTTCTTTAAAAAAATTTTTTTTTGAGGGGTTGAGGAGATAGCTCAGTGATTTAAGTGCCTGCCTGGCAAGCACAAGGACTTGTTTTTTTTTTTTTTTTAATTGAGAAACAAATATCAATGAGACAGTTTCAAAACTGATTAATAGGACACTTTCAATAATTAATACATTGTACATTGTTATCTTCTTAGTGGTTATCCGTAGTACAAGATGCAGACAGAATATCCTGTCCAAACACTATTAGTACAAATCTTTCTTCTCATTGAATTAAGTGAAAGTAGCTGTATATCTATCCTAACTATTTTGCGTATACAGATACAAAATGGTCCTTCCTTTGTATCACCTTTTTTTGGTTTAGTCCTGTTAGAAGTGGGTATTCCGTTGGCATCTAAGTACTATAGGTGCAAGGACTTGGGTTTGATCTCCGGTACCACATGCTATGCCAGCCCTGGAACGCTGGGTGCTCTGCTATTGGCCACTGAAACCAGTCCTGGTGGCACACACCTGTAATCCCAGTGCTGGAGAGGCTGAGACAGAAGGATCACTATGAATGAGCTGCTTAGTGAGACCTAGTACCAAATAAATAAATAATAAATTAAAAAATATTAATTTAATTTTTTATTAATTAAGTTTATCAGTACATTTTAGGTATACAAAAAGATCATAATTATCATAAGGAATTTGTACCTGAACATGATATAACTGGGTTCTTTTTTCCCCATCCCTCAAGTGCCTTTTTCCCCCCACCCTCACCTTTTAACCCATCTTTCCCTCTTTATTTACAAAAGCTTTAAAACAACTTACTTTCAACCCAAAGGAACTTTTCGCTTTTCTTTCTTTTTTGGTTTTTGCTTTAAGTGGAGGGCGGGTTTCTGCTAAGAACTTACTTGCCAAGGGTAGAGGTGTTAAATGTAAATCACAAGTGTTTTGTCTTAGCTTTCTCTGCATGTTTATGTACCCATCTAGGAAACACAGCCTGAGCAGGGACTTCTGCCTTCTTCCTTTCTCCACGGCCCATCCCCTCTCTCAGCACCTGGGCCTGCTGATCTGGACCTAGACCAAGAGATGGAGGCTAGAAGTGAGGGATCCTTTAAGAAAGGAAAGAGTCCGTGCATGTTGAGTGACACGCCATGGCCTCCAATGGGTGTCCTCTCTAGCAAACTGAAGCCACTGTCAAAAGGCCACGCTTCCCGAACCCACCAGATCTTTGCCGATATGGAGAAAATCTTAGGCAGGGCTCCAGCCCAGTTCAGGGCAGAAATAGCTGATCAGCCCGGTTTGGAGATACCTCAGAAGGCAACACAGAAAATCTGCCTGGGGTCTTCAGACCCTGAAATAGAAGAGTTGGAAATGAGGACCAGACAGCAGAAGCTTGGCGCCCTGGGCCCTCAGAACATCGGGGCTCTCTGGAATGGGCAGGATGTGCTGGAGAGCAGGAGTCAGGCCCCTGTCCACCCTAAGCCTTCTGAAGCCAGCAAGGGCCCACGGCTAAAACGCGAGCAGCATGGCTACAGCATAGCCACACTGAGCTCCACTGGCCCTGAGGGGGACAAGGGTCAGAGCCCTATTCCCTTGCCCTCCCCTGAGGAGGAGTCCTCCCTGTCCCCTGGTTCTTCTGACCACGTGCTACCCACCAGGCAGAGTAAGCTGCTCTCAGTAGATGGCAGCTTAGCTGACGATCTGAGCTGGCAGGGAGTTCCTGGGGAAGGTGAGAGCCTGGGCAGGGGAAGGCGAAGGAGAGAGCCCCCAGGCCTGTGGGTGGGACAAGTCTCCAAGCTTGTCAGCAGGGCCAGTCCTGGCAGCTGCAAGGATACAGAGCCTGATGTCCCTATGGCTGTGGGGAACACAGCTGAAAATCTACCGCAGGGACTCTTCCTAATGCGATCTGACCCCTTGGCATCAGAATCAGCTCAGGATGCTTCTTCTGAGGCTCCAGCCAGTGAGAAGAGCCACCCTCCAGAGTATCCAGACCCCCACAATGAAGGCCAGAAGCCTAGTGTGTCTGGGGCTGACCTGAAGAGCTGCAGCAGTGACGACAGCAGTCTGGCCTTGCCTCTTGGCTCTCTCCTCCTGCATGAGGTGAACAGCTTCCCTGGGGGCCGACAGAGCCCCCGCACCTCTGTGGTGGCTGTGGATCCATCAGACCCGCGGCCCAGAGATTCACACTCCTGCCCCTACCTGGCCTTCCAGTTGTCTCACATGCAGAGCTCTGCTGAGGAGCAGTCAGAGAGCGAAGACTACTCTGAGGATCGGAGGTTCTACCAGCACATTCTGCAGATGGTCAAGATCTCCCGGAGGTTGGAGGGCCTAGGGCTGCCCGAGAGTATGCCGGAAAGGCCGTGCAAAGACATTGCTGACATGGTCTGTTGCATGGAGGCTGAGCCTTTCAGGAAACCTAGTGAGGGTGAGCATGAGGCCATCAGAGCCGTGGAGAGGGACTCGCGGTTTCTGTCCTGGGGGCCACAGCTGCTGGGACTCCCTCAGGAGGTGGCCCCTGCCCCTGCAGAGCAGGAGGCACCACAGCAAGCCTACTGTCAGCCAAGCAGCCGTCTACTCAGGCAGGGGCTAGTCGAGCTGAGTTGCAGCAGAGGGCTGGCTACAGAGCCAGGCGAGACACAGCTTCTCAATCAGGTAGGCTTCTGAGAGAGTGGCCTGAGGCTTCAGGCAGGGTGGACCTGGCAGGGAGGGAGCAGGCGGAGTTCATGTCTTAGCACAGTCTTCAGGTTTGCTTTCTTCTTACCTACCCTCCCTTAGTAACTGTTGACCCTGTTACCCAAGAGGCTGTCTTGTGGGATGACTTGTATTTCAAGTCTCTTCCACCCTATATCCTGGAAGATGTGGCATTTTTTAACTTCTTTTTCCTGGGTATAATTGTTAATTAGTGGGTGGTTCACATGCTTTGAAGGTGATCAGTTCTCAGAGTGGGCAAGGTGGCGCTGATGGTGGGGATCACACAGGATGTAGACGCCTTCTAAGGTTTGTGAAGCCTTTCCCATCAACTAATTCTGGAGAAGGGGCATTGGGAGTAAGCAGCCCACATCAAAGCTGTGAACCTGCCCCTTCTTGGGGGCATGCAGGGCTGGAGAGTTTACACTCTTGTGAAGGACTGAGGCGCGCAGTCTCCTTGTGCTGTTCAGCAAGCTCTTTCTGCTTCTTTCCTCCTGGGCCCAGAAACCAAATTGCTGAATTGTGTCCTGCTTGTGCTGACCCTTTTTGTGACCTCACTTCCTCTCCTGCTGGGATTTACTGAAGGGCTGGGCTTACCCTGTCATTCTAATCCTTTGTCTCTGTAAGAGTCTACATATTCTTCATTCAGAAGAAGTCAGTTGGGATCAGAGACCACAGAGATCAGTCTGACTTTTCCTGGCTCTTTTGCTGTGGCCCAGCTGTGGCTTTACCCAGTTGTTTCCTCTGGTTCCTAATTGCTGACGTGCACTGGTTCTCTGTTAGCTTTAATAACTACTATAGTACTATAAATATCAGATAAGCTGCAGATTACCCTGCAAGTTTTAATTAGCCCAATGGCAGCAAGTTTATCTTCTCAGAAGGACAACACCATGCACAGCCCCACACTCAGTGTTAATGGCCATCTATAGAAGATGATCAGCTAGGGGCCAGGAATGTATGATCTCCCTGCTAACCCCTGCTTTAGTAAAGGCCCTGGAGAACAAAGGCCTCAGCATGCCTGTCTCCCTCCCTCAAGCCCCCAGCACGTTAGCAAATTAGGCATGTTAGGAGTCTGTAATTTTCCGTAAATACAGTGTGGGAAGAATTTTGCTTGCTGATATGCTGGGGCTGGTAGGAAGGGCTAAAGGCAGGAGGAGCAGGACCAGTTTGCTCATAGTTCACTTAGAGAAGCCCCCTCATACCTCCAGTAAGTTCTCTTGCTGGCTCTGTGGCTTTGAATAGGGTTCTTGATCTCACCAACCTCCATTTGTTCAAGTGGGGACTGTGGGTAATGGCAGAGCCTGCCTCAGAGGGTTGTCGCAAGAGTAAGACGAGATGTTGCGTATCCATGGTACTCAGACAAGTTGGCCAGTATGCATCAGCTCTCTCCCTAACAATCCAGGTGATTGGGGATTTGCAAAGGCTTGGGGTCGTTCTCATCTCTCCTTTCACCTGAGCTTCCTATGCACACACAGGCCCAGCGGGGCTGCCCAGGCCTGCCTTCTAGGCTGAGGCTGTGGCTGAGAAGATGGCCGGTCTGAACTTCCTCAGTTGACCCCTTCTGAGTTCCTTTATCCTCAGTTTCTGCGGAGAAAGGAGAGAAAGCTTTTGCTTTCTTTTATACATTTTAAGTTTGATAAAGGAGGAGCTCTTTGTAAACTGTCCCCAGAATACTGTCTGGCTCATGCTTCTGTAAGCCCGGCCAGTCAGAGCAGGGATCCCAGTAATGGCATATCCCATAAGGCTGGGTCCTGGGCCACTTGCAGAAGTGCTTTACACTCATCATCTCCTGTGAGGTGCTCATTCGAGCCCTTCCCCGGAGGCAGAGCACCCGCCCTGTTCATCTTGCAGAAGAGTGAACTTGGCACCCCAGAGCCTGTGGGTCTCACACTTTCTGCCCCCAGTCTGGTTTCTTTCTCATAGATGCTGGAGTTAAAAAACAAACAAGCAATCCAAAAACCAAGTTAAATAGTTCAGAAGGCATATGACAAAGGACTGCGGTTCTCTAGGATAGGATTCCAGGCCCTCGCCAGAGGCATCAACTGTTTTCTGGTGTTTACTTCCATCTTTGTTAGTACTGCGCTGAGGTGGCTTTTTCTGCACTTATCCATTTTAAACTTGAGTGTTCTCATGCTGGTAGATGAGTTTTGCCTCTGTGCCCCTCTCCCGCATGCTTTCTTCATGGCTTCCAAAAAGAGAGCAGAGCCCTGTGCAGCATCTGCCAGATGTGAGGGGGCTGCTTGTGTGTGATAGCATTTGAGTTACGAGAGTCCGGAAGCAAGCCTGCGATTTCTCACCCAGTTGGCATGATGGTAATTTCTGGATGTTGTGTTTCATGAGCAGCCTCCAAGCAGAAGTGGTTTAAATTAGAATGGGCTGCAGCCGGGGAGATGGCTCAGTGGAATAAGCACTTCCCTGGCAAGCGCAAGGGCCTGAGTTCAATCCCTGGTTCTGAAAAAAAAAAAAAAAATTAGAGTGGACAGAAGTTAGCTGTTTTACTTTTGTATCTGTCTCCGACAGGTTGGGAGCCACATGGTTTCTTGGGTTTGTAACAAGATGTTTACTGTTACCTAGGCTCTGGGTTCCTCATTAGCCCCAGTCCAGGTTCCTTTTGGGGGCCTGGCTCCTTTAAGAGGCCTTGTAGATGCCCCACCCTCTGGTCTTCGTGAATCTCAAAACACAAGTCGGGGGAGCTCCGTGGAGTCTGGTCAGCTCGGGGAACTGCCACTGGTGAGTACTTTGTTGTTGTGCAGTATTTAGTTATTGTGGAGCCAGGGACCACAGGAGAAGAGGAGGGACTAGGCTGGGCCCGCAGCATTCAGAAGCAGGAGTTGTCATGCCTGCACCATGCTGCATGTGGACTCTGGGCAGTAGAGGACAGATCGCGGCACAGGGACACCGTGCTGATTTCCCTGTCCCATAGCCAGGCCGGGGGAGTTGAAGAGAATCAACAGTGTGAGCCAGAGTCTCCAGGTCAGCTTTGTGGACAAGGGACACTTGATCCGGGAGATGGTCTACAGAGAGAGCAGGAGCACCTCAGGGCTGTTCTCTTAAGTAGTCCTGCGGAATCCTCCCTTGACTTGCCTTTTCTATTTTGGAGCTGCCACAGGGTTTGAAGACGTCTGCTCATCCAAAGGGTCTCTTGGGCACCATCCAGGAGGATAAGAATGCACTCAGCCTCTTGGCTTTAGGGGAGGAGACCAATGAGGATGAGGAGGAGAGTGACAACCAGGTAAGGGGGAAGTCTCCTTCCTGACCTATAAACCTGCACAATTTTGGTTTGTTGAAATAATTGTTTTGCTATGGTAAACTATGTATGATGTAAAATTTGCTGTTTTAACTTTTTAATAGTACCAGGGACTAAACCCAGGGCGTTCACATTGAGTGACATCTTCAGTCCTTTAAAATTTTTTAAATAATATTTTATTTTGTTTTGTTTTTGAGACAGGGTTATGTTATGTAGTTGAGGCTGGCCTTGAATTCACTGTGTAACCCAGGCTGGTCTCAAACTCAGTGAGCCTAATGCCTCAGCCTTCTGAGTGCTGGGATTACAGCTATGTGCCACCATGCCCAGCCTAAAATTATTATGTTGAGACAGAATCTTGCTAGGTTACTATGTTTCCCAGACTAAGCTTGGACCTGTCTTCTGCCTCAGCTTCCCAAGTGCTGGGATACACGTGTGCCACCATGCCTGGGATTTTAACTATTTTCAAATGTACAATTTAGTGGTACTAAATACCTTCACAGTGCTGTACAACCATTGCCCCCTCCATCTCCAGAAGTCGGTCTTGGTCCTCAGCAGAAGCTCCCACCTGCTGGTGTGGGGTGCTGACGTGTGGGCCCAGCAGTTGGGAGGCTGACTTTCAGGCTAGACTGCTGCATAGTGAGTTTCTGTCTCAAACAAATAGAAAGAGAAACAAACAAACAAACCAGCCAGCCACCCAGCCAACCAAGCAACCAGCGCTCTGTACCCATTACACAATTCCCCCATTCTCCAGCCTCTTTATGTCTTTATTATGTAACTGTCAGCCTAGTTTATGTCTTTTTTTATTTTTATTTTATTTTATTTTTAAAATGTTATAGGGTCTGCAGGGTCTACAGGGTCTATAAGGTCTCACTATAGAGATCAGACTCGTAGTGATCCTCCTGTTTTCAGCCTCTCAAGTGCTGGGATTACAGGCGCATGCCACCACACCTAGTCTCAATTGCTGTCTCGTTGCCACGGGGGTGGGGCCAGCACCGCAGGGCAGGGATCGAACCCCGCCACTGTGCTCTGCCTAAGCAGGTGCTTTAGTCCGTTGAGCTATCTGGCTGGCCCTCTAGTTTATGTCTTTATGAATTTGCCTATTCTAGATATTTTGGGCAAGTGACCCATACAGTATTTTTTCCTTTTGTGTCTACCATCTTTCATTTAGCATATTTTCAAGGTTCATGTTGTAGCATTCATGTGAATGTAATTCTCTTCATTCCTTCTTATTTGTTTTTTTGAGATGAGTCTCAATATATAGCTCATATTGGCCTTGAACTCACTACTTAGCCCAGGCTGCCTCAGACTCAGTGGTCCTTCTGCATCAGCCTCCTGAGTGCTGGCATTTTATGTATGCCCCCACGCCCCGTTTTCTTTTTTTTTTTTTTTTTTTTTTTAGGATGAGTGCTGTTCTATCGCATTTATACTGCATTTTATTTATTCACTCATCTGTTCATGAATACATGGCTTGATTTCATCTTTGGCTGAACTCTGCTATTTAAAAACAAAAATGATTCTGTTGCCCACAGTCTCATTCCTTGGTCGTCTGTGTGTGTCCTAGGTCTGGTCGTGAAGACACAGCCAAGGAGCTTCTTGGCCATTGCTTGGCACATGGCATTTACTCTGGGTAAAGGGCTGTTTAGTGGCTCCTGCTCTGAGGCCCTGCCTGGCCCAGCGTGCGAGCTCCGTAGGACCCTGCTTCTCCCCTGGCATGCCCCTCACCTGGGCTGGACACAGACTTGCTTAATCCTGTGATCGTTTTTGTTTCTAGAGTGTCCATAGCTCCAATGAGCTGTTCAAGAATCTGCACTTGGATCTGGGGTCTCTAGGGGGAAACTTCGAATATGAGGTAAGAGCCCTGAAGCCCCTGCTGGTAAAGGACGAAGCCTGGGGATTCTCCCTTCCTTCTGAAGTCTTCCTGTTTGTGGGGTCATATTTGGAGGATGAGCATTTTGTCCCAGTCCTATCTAGGATTTTCAGGGTTTGGAGAAAGACAAAAGGAGCAGGGAATGCATTTACTTACCTGTGTATCAAAGAACCACCTCTCGGACGTTTATGGGTGCAGCACTTCTCCTGCTGCTGGCGGGCCTGTGGGCATGGAGACAAGCTGCTCATTGTCATCTCAGATTCCTTATTCTCATGGGAATTGAGTGCTGGGGATCAAACGCAGTACCTTCTACGTGCCAGGCAGGCACTTACACCATGGAGCTGTCTCCCCAGACCTTCAGAGTCCTCATTCTCACAAACTTAGGGAGAAGAAATAACTTGTCTGGACATCAGGACAAACGGTGAAAGAGATAACTTTTGACCTGGGTCTTGAGTTGTTAAGCTTTGGACATGGAGGGTATGAAGGAATATTCTATGCAAGTGAATAGCGTGAGTGGAGATTTGTGGGGTGAAAAATGTAGAATGTGGATGGGAATGTTTTCAGGAACATGTTCCCCAGTTCTTGTCCCTTTCTTGGAACTCTGTCCCCTGCTCCTATGTAAAGAAGAAGCAACAGCAAAACTCCTCATGATTCAGTGCCCACAAGCTCAGGGTGCGTGTGTACTCAGAAGGGGACATCCAGTGTGCTCTCTCTGCCTAGTGTCTGACTTACTCATTTTTAAACAACTGACATTTCTTTATTCCCAAAATATTTTCACAGCCTTACACAAACATTTAAAGACCAGCTGTAGATTAAATCAGTTATACTTTTCACAGGACTAGTATATCAAATTATTTTAAATACATTAATTACCTTAAAAATAAAACCAGCCACTCACACCTTAGTAGAATGATCACAGAACAGGCCAGTAAAACAGAAGTGCCATTATCCTAGATTTAACTTTGTTGCCTTATTATACCTTATTCTTTCCTTTCTTTTTCTTTTTTTCCTGATACCAGGGATTGAATCTTGGGAGTGCTGAGCTATATCCCCAGCCCTTCTTATGTTATTTATTTATTTTTATTTTGAAGCAGAGTCTTGCTAAGTTGCCCAGGGTGGGTTTGAACTTTTGATCCTTCTGCCTCTGCTTCTTTAGCTAGGATTATCATCATAGGCTGTCAAGTGTTCTCTCTTATTTTTTCTGACTGTTCGTCCTGGTGCTCAGCTCCCCTTTAGAGCCAAGGCACTGTCTCAGGCCAGCCGTGGTTCCCGATGCTGGCTGATGGGCCTGCCTTCATTCTTGAGACCTGAGCTGTGGCCAGAGCTCCTGAGGTGACGCAGCACTACCTGTTGGGCAGGGCCCTCTTCTTAGACTTTTGCCAGTTAGTGCAGCTGTCTGACTTTTTGGATCTACACAGTCAACAATGTTTTGATTGTGACTTTAATCCTTTCTGCCAGATGTGACACTTATTTCTGCGTGTCCCATCTGTACTGTCGATCTGATATATGTCTACTTTTTTTTTTTTTGTCTTTTTGAAACAAGGTCTTGCTATACAGTTCAGGCTGGTGTTGAGCTCACTTTGTAGCCCAGGCTGGTCTTGAACTCCAAATGATTCTCCTGCCTCAGCCTCCCGAGTGCCGGGATTACAGGCTTCGCCACCATGTCTGGCTTCATTATATGTCTATTTTATTTATTTATTTATTTATTTATTTATTTATTTATTTATTTATTTGGCAGAACTGGGGATTGAACTCAGGCCCTTGCGCTTGCCAGGGAAGCACTTATTCTACTGAGCCATCTCCCAGGCCCCTTACGTCTATCTTTAAACAGTTCTTTCTGAGTGGGGTTTCATCTGGTTGGGTGCCTCAGAAGTTTTCATTCTGTTTGGTTCCCTGATGTGACGACTTTGTTTTACCCTTGTCCACCATTAAGACCTGCTCTGACTGGGGGAAACAAGGAGCTGCTCCTCTTGGCACGTAGCAGAGTGACTTGGAGTAGTTAGAGGATGTCTGGCCAACTCACTTGCTTTTGGAGGAGGAAGATAGTTTCCTAGAGACTGAGGGAGCTGAGGGCAGACTTGGCCCATTCATAGCTCTATTTCAGTGCCATGCCCACAGTGTGGAGCATAGAGAGCCCGTGCGGATGCTTGGTTAGACAATGGAGAGCGAGTGCGTGAATAAAGGAGGCTTGCTGGGTTGGGCTGGGGGTGTCTGGGCAGGGCATGTGGTTTCTTTTTCTGTCTTTGGCTTTCTCAGGTTCTGGATAGTGTGATGCCTGTTCCTTGCTGTCAGCTGGTGAGCTGGAGATCCCACATGGATTGCTCATAATTTGCTCTGATCTTGAATTACCTTTTTTTTTTTTTTTTCCTGGTACTGGGAATTGAATTCAGGTCTTTGTGCTTGCCAGGCAGGCACTGTGCTGCTGAGCGATATCCCTGGCCATCTGAGCTTTATCCCTATCCCTCTTAACTTTCATTTTGTAATGCGTTACCAATGTCAACAAGAAAGAGATTTTCGGGGGCTGGTGAGATGGCTCAGTGGTCTAAAGCACCTACTTAGAACAAGCTTAGCAAAACACAGGGACCGCGGTTCAATCCCCCAGCACCACATGCCAGCCAGCCCCGCCTCCTGGTGGGCTGAGCTGGCCACACACACACACACACACACACACACACACACACAAATAAATAAAAATTAAAAAAAAAAAAGAAAGAGATTTTCATCTTTGTCATGTCCTGAATTTCCTGAAGGCTTTCCTTCTGATGATTATGTGCTCAGGGTGTGGTGGGGGGAGAACTTGCCAACATTTTATAACCTCTTTAGTATAAATAGACACCTCGGTGTGGTGGGAAATGTCTAGAGTGGGCAGTGTTAAATACACCTCCCACCTCTGTCTCTAGCAGCCCAGCAAATTGAATTCTTTTTGTCACATGGGGTGTGGAATTCACATGTTCTAACCTCAGCAGGAATTAGGGCTTTTTCTGCTGGGGAAAGCTGGTAGTAGGGATGGATGATGGTTTTTGAACAGGCAGAGCTCTTCTGCCCAGGTGCTGGCCTTTGACAGTGCCTTTGGATCCTCTCAGCTGTCCACCTTTCCCTGCTGTCAGGCAGCCGAGGAAGAGGTAGCCTTCTGCAGAGTGTTCCTTCCCGGCGTAGCTCTGCCTGCCTTGCTGAGCAGTCACTTTGCTCATGATTCCATGAGAGGGCAGTAGGATAGCAAGAATGCATCTTTCTCTCTGTCTCTCTCTCCCTCCTTTTCTGTCTTGCAACTTAAGCCCATTCCTGGTGTATCACAGACTCAGAAGGGAAAGGTTCAGAGAACCAGCACTGAGAATGCATATGAACTGAGGTGGGAGAGGCGGAAGGGTGGGCAAAAAAGGCTGTCTGTGGCCATGTGGTGCCTGATGAAAAGCCCAATCAGCAGATCAAAGGAGCAGGAGGGGGCCGGGGCTTAGAAATAACAGGATGATGTCAGTGTGATTGGAAAGCGCTAACTACACCAGGGGGCAGTGCAAAGAATTGAGACCAACTGGGAGGAGTGAGACCTGGAAAATAAACTGGATTGATGGTTGCTCTGGCAGTGGTCTCCCAGAAAGGTCAATGCATGGATGTGGTCCCCTCCACCATCACAGGAGTTCCTGCCTTTGTGTTCTGGGTAGAAAGTGGAGATTGTGGCCCTGGAGAGTTTAGGCCTTTAGGGGGGTATCTTACATGTACTCCATGCAGCCCTTTCCTCATGCACATGGTGCCTTGTGATGTGCAAGGACCTGGGGCAGTAGCAGCAGGAGACTGGGAGCATGAGTTCAGATGAGCTCAGAGCAGAGCCCAGGTGGGAGACTGTGCACAGGTCCCGGGGTATGCACGCTGGCTGGGAACTTCAGGGCTCCAGTCTGGTGACGTGCCAGGGCGCAGCAGCTGCGTGAGAAGAGATGGGTGGGAGTCAGTTGTACTCAGCTCTGGCTCATCCATTTGTTGGTGACCTGTGCCTGTGTGAAATCCCCTGTGCTTTCCCTGCCCTCGGTGAGCCTCTGGCTGTCCTCTCACTGGAGTTAGTTGACGAAGGTGAGGAGAATGCAGGGTCACTTACTTTAATACTGGCTGTGTTTTAATATTTAGGCAGGCAGGCAAAGATCAGTCTCATAATATGAAAAAACAGTCGATTTTTGGGTGCTTTGGGTTGAACTCAGAACCTTATGCATGTTAAGTACACACTCTGCTACTGAGGCACGCCTCAGAATGAAAATCTTGTTTTGAAGAATTTAAGCTTGAGAGTTGGTTAGATGGGGCCAGAGATTGTTAGGTAGTCTGGTTGTATTCTTGCTGATTGTATGACAACAAGAATCTCTGCCTGTATCTGGCATTTTCTGTTTTTTGATAGGTTACTTATTTTTAAAATTATTTTGAATAATTACATTTTTGTTTGGTATTTTCCATTTAGTAAGCCCCACAACTGCTATATAGTATAATCACTGGGTAACCTTGACAGCGTATTATAGCATAGGAAGAGAAGCCTCAGTTCTTGTATCTGTACAACACAGCCATAGACTTACTTTTTGCGGGTGTGTGGTGCTCCTCCAGATTCACAAGGCCTTTGCGCTGAGCAACATTCCTAGCCCTTTTTACACTTTTTATTGTGAGATGGGGTTACAGTAGACTGCCTAGACACTTGACCGTGTGACTTTCCTCAGCCTCACAGTGGCTGACTTGATTTAAAAAAAAAAATCCAGCCGGCCAGCCTTTGCTGAGCATCTGTTATGTACTAGAAACTGAACACAATAGGCAGCAAAGCTGCTGAGGGAAACAGTCAGGAAGCCAGCAACTAGGATAGGTATCATGGAAAGGACGGGGCAAGCTGACTCCAGGTCAGCTGGCCCAAGGGTCAAGGAAGGCTTCCTGGAGGAGGTGATACGAGGATATGAGGACCAGCGAAATTTCATGGCAGAGCAAAGGGTAATTCAGTGTTAGTGCGTGCTTAGTATGTACAAGGAAGCTGGGCTCCATCTACAGCCACCCCCCAGCCCCAGTGAAAAAGCACAGCAAAGCAGAGAAATAGCGTGGTGTGTGTATGGGCAGGAGAAGGGAATGCGAGCAGAGTAGGGCGAAGCCAACAGTGAGAAGCAAGCAGGGGCGGGTGGGCAGGGCTGTGGGCTAAGCCAGAAGGCGTGAACTTCATCTTCATCTTGGGAGCCACAGGCGCTGTCAGTGGCCTGACGCTTCCCTTGTCTTGTAGCTCAAGGGCTGTTGCCTGGCAGCCCTTTTTGTGCCAAGTTTCACTCCCAGCTTCAAGCCTTCCTTAATCTCCAGATGAGCCCGACCAGGATGGATTGCACTACTTGCTGAGAGTGGGCATGTGGCTGGCCAGACACTCCCACCTGCCCTACGGAGCTGTCACTTTGGAGTCTGTGGAGCCCTGCAGGCCGGTCAGGAAGTCCTTGCTGAGGTGCTGAGTTGTGGCCTGTGCTGGGAGATGGGGCCTAGCCACAGCCTGGAGCTGCTTGTCTCCAGAAGAGGAGCTCTTTCCCCTCAGCGTGGTGCAGGGATCGTGTAGACCACTGCTGTGTGGTCTTGGAGTCCTAGGAGGATGGTGCACTGCATTCTCCGATTTACCTTCTGCTTTTTGTGCAGGGATGGGTTGAGGCTGATGCCAGTGCCACTCCTGCATCTGGTATTTCTTTGCTTTGGGCAGTAAAAGCTTATAATGAGGCCCATCAGGGACAGTTTGCTTTTCTCATGTCAGCTCAATTCCCCGAGGGAAAGATGTATATCTTGGTCATGGTCAGTTCCCCGACACAGTGTCTGGGACATAGAAGGTGCTCAATGGATGCACGCACGTGTGGGTCTCATCTGATAGCACCAGTGCTGCCATTTAGGGGACACTCACTGGATGTCAGCGCACTGATCAGTTCCATGACTCACTGAATGGGTGTTGGCCCATTACATATTCCCAGCAACACTACGAGGTAGGCGCTCCTATTACATCCTTGCATTCTGGAGGAAAAAACTGAGGCGTGGAAAACTTCACCCATCCAAGGTGAAGTGTTGAGCCATTTGAAATGTTGGAGCCAGGATCGGAGTCTAGGTTGTCTCTGCAAAGCTGAGCTCTGCATTGCTTTGCTTTGCTTCACCATCTTTGAAGAGCTTAGGTTTGCTCGTCAGCCAGCTGCCAGATCTGCAGGCGATCGTCGTATCTCTGGGCTGAGCAGATACTTTACCAGCGCATGCTCATCAATAACTGCCACGTGTGGGGCTTCTCCTTGGGCCGTTCTCTTCTTGACTTGTGTCAGACAGATTGCTATCACTCTAATGAGATATCTGAAGTAATTAACTTGTAAGAGGTTTATTTCAGTCCACAGTTTTTGGGGTTTTGGGCCCTGATCAGTCGGCCCCGTTGTTTTAGGATGTGGTAAGGCTGCGCATCATGGAGGTCACAGGGTAGATGAGAGCTGCCTACGTCAGGAGCCAAGGAGCACAGAGAGAAGGACCAGTCCCCTTCCAGGAGCCTAAGGGCTTCCGGCTAGGACCTGCCTCCTGAAGGTTTTCTCATCTCCTAGTAGCTCTGTCTGGCACCCAGGCTTTGGTGGGTCATTCCAGATCTAAACTGGAACACAGTCTTCATGCTTCTTGTTTGAATCTTCAGAGTAGAGAAGCAGAGAGTCTTGTAATTCCCTCATCAGGAATTGTGCAGCCTGGAAGCCCAAGTGGTAGTGTTTTCTGGAAGGAAGCGTTTCTAACCTGAACCCAGGAGAGAGCACTAGTTAAATTTCCAGTGAAGGGTTTTCTGCCTCTATTTTTGGCAACTTGAGAGAATTCAGTCATAGATTTTTACTTTTTTTTGGACATGGCATATGGAGCTGGGGATCGAACCTTGGTCCCTTGTGTCTGCCTAAGCTTGCCTAAGTGGGCGCTTTAGACCACTGAGCTATCTCCCTGGCCCCACAGATTTTTACTTAAAAAAATCTTTTTATTTATTCGGTACAGGGCTTCACTATGCAGCTCAGACTTGTAGTGATCCTCCTGTCTCAGCCTCCCAGCACTGGGATAACAGGCATGTGCCACCACAGTTCCAGGGCCAGCATGGCATGTGGTATTGGGGATTGAACCCGGGTCCTTGCATGTGCCAGGTAGGCGCTTAGAGTGCAGAGCTATCTCCCCAGCCAACTTTTACTTGTTTTTAAGGTGAGGTTTATGTGTGAGAAGCAGGTGTGGTTGCTGTTGAGGTGTGCTGCTCATGTCTCCTTGTAAGATACCCTGCTGAGTGCAGTTAGTAGATTGACAGCAGCCAGCTGTGGGCCTTCTGTACTCCCTGGTTCTGTCTAGACCGTGCTTCCTCCTGGTGACAGGTGACACGGGTTCAAGGGTAAGGCTATTCCTGCCAGAGTGGGGCCCCTTTCATGATGTTCTACTGGGTCCCCCTCTGCTGGGCTGGACAACACTTCTCAGAACCGTGCTGTGCTTCTTTCCATCTTTCCCCTCTTGCTTCCTTCTCTCCAGTCACTGTTCAGACATGTGTCATGTTCTGAAGGGCTTCTCTGTCTCCTTTCCCACCACTGGGATCTCCTCTAACAGAGCTCTTGCGTGTCTAATCCAGTCATGACATCTGCTTTGCAGGGGACCCAAACTGATGGTCCTGGATGAAGACACTGTCTGGATGGCTCACAATGCCCAGCTTGTATAGGGAGGCTGTGGGGAGGAAGGGGACACTCTTTGGTTTTCTTGCTGGCTGCGGCAAATGACTGGTAGAAATGCTGGACTTTGCTGCCTTTCTCTCATGTGATTTCTCCTCATCATCTTCAGTGAATCTTGGCTTCTGAGTTTGTAGTCTTTTGGCTAATGAGGCTGGAGAGAGACAGATTCATTGACAGAGGACATGATAAATGGTGGCAGAGTTGTATAGCCCAGTGTAGCAATTTCCAAGCCTGTCAGTGGACTTCGGAGACCAATTGGACAGAGCCAATCACTGTAGGAATTCCAGTCGAATAGATCTGAAGGGGGCTGAGATCTCTGTTAGGTGTTGGAAATGGGGGGGGGGTCCAAACTCAAGCACTGCTCCATGGGAGTCAGGAAGTAGCAGCTTTCTTGTAGCAGTTCTGTAAGTTGCTTTTCTGTACTCCTCTTGCCTTCCTTTCTGATATAATCTGTGGTCCCTAGGAGTCTCCAAGAACAAGCCAGCCAGTGGAGAAGGACATTTCTTTTGATTCAGAGCCTGCCGGCCCCACTATGCCTGGAAAGCTCTTCAACCACGGTGGAGACAGTAGCCTGAGCAGTAGCAATGGCAAGGAGCCACAGGGCAGAAGGGCGAGTTCTTGGCTTCCCAGGAGAGAGGAGAACAAAGAGAGTCATCCTGCGGCTTTCCCATGTCCAGTGACCCCTGGGGTGGATGCTGGGGCCTCCAGAAAGAACTCTAAAGAGGACCTGAGAGATGCAGGAGAGGAGAGTTCCACGAGGGAAGAGGCAGCAAAGGAGCCGAGGGAGGTGGCTGCTGCCCCCAAAGAGAGCAGATCAGATGCCAGTGAAGTAAGTCACGGCGCCCCCTAGACACTGCCCAGCTGTCGCCCGCTCTGCTATCTCTGGCTCTGTGCAGCTTCCTGTCCCCACATCTTCATTACCGAGTCAGGAGCATCATTCGCAGGCCTGTACTGGGCTGTCAGCGTTAGCCAGAAGCCTTAATTGTGACAAATATACCCAGACCCAGCAGGCAGTAAAATCCAGAGTAAAACTGCAGGCGTGCTGGTACTGGAAATGTAGTGCAGAAACGAGCTCTTCTGTGGCCCCCTCTGGGGGTATTCATGTTCTTCTTGGCTCCTGCTTGCTCCCTCCTCCTCTTCCTGCCTCCCCTCCATTTCTAGTCTTGGTTTGCTGCAGTCTGACTGAAGTCCTCTGTAGAGAAGGGTGTGCATGTGTGCGTGTGTGCGTGCGTGTGTGTGTGTGTGTGTGTATGTGTGTGTGTGTGTATAGGATGAAGACTAACACAAGCAGATTCGGTTACCAGAAGACTTTTTTTTGGCACTGGGGATTGAGTCCAGGGCTGTTGCACTGAGCTACATCTCCAGGCATTTTTATATTTTTTACCTCTAGACAGGTCTTGTTAAATTGTTGAATTGCTCAAGCTGGGCTTGAACTGGTGATCCCTCTGCCTCGGCCTTCCAGGATGCTGGAAGTGAACTCATGACGAGGCCAGTAGTGGACTCATGATGTAGCCCAGGCTGGCCTGGATCCCATGTGCTGGGATTACGGGTGTGCTGCCGTGTCCCAAGGAGACTCTTCTCCTTGATTTCAGTAACTATGAGGCAGCACAAGCCATGGAAAGGGTTGCTTTTACCAAACTAGGCTGGTGACTAGAATGGACAGAAATATGTTTGAGTGAGGACAGCCTTTGGCATTTTATATCTTTTTTATTTTTAAAATTTTTTTTGGCCAGCTAAAGCCTCAGGGCTGGTGCGGCATGTGGTGCCAGGGATCGAGCCATGGTCCCCAGCGCCTGCCTAAGCTTGCTTGCCTAAGCAGGTGCTTTAGACTGCTGAGCTGTCTTGCCACTCCCCGCTTTTTGGAATTTCATGTCTTCTAGTCCTTGGTCCTCAGGGCAGATGGTGAAGGAATTCAGTTAGAGAGCTTTTATCTACTTCCTGGAAGAGGTGTCCTCCTTCAGCTTTTCAGGGAGCATCGAGCTTCTGTATTGCCAGCTGGATAATCTCCAGGGCAGAGGTGCACTCACAGGTGACGCTGGAGTGATCTGATGCGGGGCCTGTTTGTCTCCACTCAGCTGGGTCGCCCAACCCTGGCCGGGAGTAGGAGGGAGGCTGCGGCGTGTGTCCGGAGAACATGGCAGGGCCTTGGCAGTTTCAAGGAGACAGATTTCAGTTTGGCCTGACGCTCAGCTCTGCTCTCCTCTGCCCTGGGGAATTTTTTTGTGTGTCTGTCTCCTTAGGATTTGGAGGTTAACGAAGTTCCGAAGGAACCCCAGCTCTCAGACTCCGTGGCGTCCGACCCCAAGTCTCTCCTTGGTCTGGTGAGTTTGTAATAAGAGGCAGCCTTGTGGGAGACAAGAGCATGGACTTTTGGGTGCCCCACATTAAGTGAGTTCTAGCCTCACAGAGAAAGCAGGTGGGGAAGTTGGGACTCAATTGTGGGTCCGTTAGCTCCTATCCTGAACCTGTTAGCTACGGAGATTACCAACTAATACATTTTCTGAGAAGAACATGAGGTAGAGAAGTAAAGCAGAGCCTGGCACTATTAAATAGATGTTAGCTATTATTACTCTCATTGTTGTCTGTGGGATCATGGGAGCTGCTTCTAAGCTCTGGCAGGAGGGATGTACAAATCTAGTTGTGTTTCTAGGATCACTGAGCTCCAAAGCAAGGTATAGCCCCTGAGTTTTGGCTGGGAAACCTGCTGTGGTCTCTTTTTTTTTTTTTTCTTATTTTGCAGAACCGGGGGTTGAACTCAGGCCCTTACGCTTGCCAGGGAAGTGCTTATTCTACTGAGCCATCTCCCCGGCCCCTGTGTTCTCATTTTAAAGTTAAAGTTTGTCCCAGACCCTCTGCCCAGCCTGCTGTATCCCTGTTCCCTTTGTCAGGTCTGAGTCTAAGGTAGTAGTTCAGGTACTGTTTGGTCAAACATTGCTTCTATATACCTCCCTCTGTCTGCCTGGAGGATGCAGAGCAAAGGCAGGAGGAGATCAGTGGAGAGGGCCAGGGATGAGCCGCGATGACGCAGAAGGCGCCAAGGACTTAGCAGGCTGTGAGCTGCAGCCCTGTGCTGAGCCCTGGGCTTAGGGGCAGATGGCAGATACCTTATGTGGAGTAGAATTCAAACTGAAAGATAAATGTCACCAAATGAGAAAGCTGCACAAACTAGGGAAGGAGGCAGAAAGTCACTGTTGTTGGCAAAACCACTGCTGAGGAATAGCCCTATCACTGAACTCCTGGAGGCGAGGAGCCTGGCCTTTCCAAAGCAGCCACCACATGTTTTTTCCACTGTGGGAGTAGAGGGAGAAAGCTATGAACAGCAGGACTAGTCCTTGTCTGGGTGTCGCTCCATTTATCAGGGCTGACGACAGAACCATCCCATTAGCATGCGGGGACAGCAAGCCTTCACTTAGCCCAGCAGGATCTTGAACTCAGCATGTGTGGGTCCTGTGACAGCCAAAGGACATTGAGGAGCTGGCCTGGGTGAGGCATTTGCTGCCTGTCCCGAAGAGAAGTCTGTGGAGAAAGCACTGCTAATTAATTCCCATCATGCAGAGGGCTGCCTGTGGGGGAAGGGGAGGGAATGCGTTGGAGGAGCCCACCACTGAAGCTCTCCCAGCTGGTGCTTGTGGTGCTCTGCTTGGGTCCTGAGGGAGAGAGACAGCTGGAAAGTGACAGGCTTTTCAGCTTGTGTCCTGGGAAGAGCTTGGGTTTTGGAGTCAGCCCCAGGGTCCGTCCAACTCCCAGCCCCTTTTCTTATCAGCTATGTGACCTTGAGCAAATGGTGTGTGCTCCCCGGCCTGGTTCCACAGCTATCTGAGTCTCAGGATTATTTTTTGACCATGATTTTATTATGGAAAATTCAAACATCTGGAGAACTTAAAAAAGAATTTTATAGCAAATACTTGTATACCACTTGGCATCTACAATGAATATTTTTCTGTATTGCCTTTATCACATATCTGCTTCTAGTCACAGTGTCATTTTGGAGAGTCAATCAGTAGGTATCAACATGTTTGCTTAGCACAGCCCCTGGCACGCAGTGGATGCTTTTCTGCAAGGTTGGCGTTAGGGGTAGAGGAGAGGCGTGGGTGAGCCCTGTGGCAGAGGCAGAGTTGACTTTCCTATTTCCTATTTCCTGTGTCTAGGACTTTGGTCTTCACAGCCAAGTCGTAGAGGACCTGCTAGATGGTGAAATGCTGTCCCCGGTCCTGGATGGAGCCCGATGGGAGGTGCGTCTCTGGGTGGCTGAGACCGGGCTTCGTTTTCCACAGCATCCACTGTTTGAGAACGCACAACAGATTCTCGCCCATCCCGGCATGTCCCTGACTGTACCATTGATGGGACTTCTGACTGTTCCTGCTCTGCTGCTGCTTAGAATTAAACAATTTTCCCTTATATGTATTCATTTATTCATTCACTCAGCAGCTGAGGGTTGCTGGCACTTGTTTATGTCCAAAGCGTTGTGGAGACTGTGGGCTTTAAGGCACTCCCCAGCTTGTCCTAGCCCTCCTGTCCAGCCGAGTCCGCCTTTCACCCTTCCCGAGGCTACTCTACCTCCCTGCTGCCGGGCCTGCTGCGTCCTTCCCCAGCGAGCTCTGTCCGGGCTTGGAGGCGCACCTCTGAAGCTACCGCTTCCTGGCAGAATGAATTGCTTCTTCTCTTTGCTCCTTTTAGGGTTTCTGGTTACATCTTCCCTGCCATGAGCACAGATGACATCTGACCTGGGTAGGGCACAGAGGTGACCGAGACAGAGATCCCAACCTTGATCTCACGACAGAGCATTAGTCTTTCTTCCTCCTTTCTGGGTTGATCACAAGTATTCTAGCACATGGTCTCTGCAAGTTTAGGGAGCATTTGGTTTACGTGAAACAGAATTTTTTTGGGTGAAACAAGCAAGATATTTAGTACGAACCCAGGTGGGGAGCCCTCAGTGAAATGCTGAGACAGGCCAGAGTTTCCAGGCTGATTGCATTTGAGTCCCGTGTGTTCCTTCTGGGTGTGGCTGATGGCTTCCCGGGCTGCTGCTAGACTTTGATCACCCTATTTGTGGTACTGGAGGGATATAAAAGCACAAACAAGGGCCAATTCGAAGTCGGGAGGCTTTGGGGCAGGGAAATTGCTAGCGCCTTAGGCACAGGTAAGTGGGAGAGCTCCCGAGTTGGTAGGCTGTGGGTGCATAGGTCGGAGTGAATTCAGCTGTTTCTGCTTCCAGAATTTGCCCAGTGTTAGAATTATTTGGGAGCTTTAAAACTGGCAGATTTTGGTCCTGCCTAAGACTTAATGAGGCCAACAGTCTCTGTTTTGGCTCATACCACTTGGTGTAAAACAGTAGCAGAGCTGGACTTGGTTTCTTCACCCCAAGGTAGCCAGCACTGGCAGAGGACACCCCTCAGCCACCCCGAGGCCAGGCTGATGAGCAGGGGACAGTGCTAGAGCTCAGGTTGGCCTAGTGACCAGAGTTTTTAGTAGGGCTCATCCTGTGTCAGGGGTGGAGGTGGGGTTCAGCAGGCAGTTGGAGCTGGAGAAACGAGCAGCCCCTCTGTGTGGGACACACAGAGAGCTCTAAGTGCAATCCCCTTGTCTTCCCATAGGCCCTGGCCCATCTTGCTGTGTTGTCTAGTTCTCTTCCTTCCTTTTTTTTTTTTTTTTAAGTTTTATGTATTTGGTACAGGGTCTTGCTACATAGCATGGACTCGTAGTGACCCTCCTGTCTCAGCCTCCCTTGTACTGGGATTACAGGCATGTGACGCCATACCCGATCTTAGGTACATATTTAAAGTGCACAATTTGATACATTTTACCTCATGGATGTGGTGTGATTAAAAATAGTAATGTCTGAGTTTTTATTTTTATTTTTTTTCTTTTTGCGGAACCAGGGATTGAACTCAGACCCTTGCACTTGCCAGGCGAGCGCTTATTGTACTGAGCCATTTCCCCAGCCCCTGAGTTTTTAAAAATGTATTACAAAAAATAGTTTAAAAATTTTATCACAGTAAAAGACACATTGCCATTCATCCCCCTCCAAACATTCCCCCTCATTTTGAATATACTTCTTTGTTTGTCTTGTTTGTTTGTTTGTTTGTTTTTTTGGTGGAACCAGGAATTGAACTCAGGCCTTTGTGCTTGCCAGGCAAGCACTTATTCTACTGAGCTGTCTCCCTGGCCCTGTATCTCTTCTTGAGACAGGGTCTTTTTTTAAAAATGTATTTAGTACAGAGTCTACAGGGTTTTAGTATGTAGATTGGACTTGCAGTGATCTTCCCATTTTAAGCCTCCCAAGTGCTGGGATTACAGGTGTGCACTACCACCCCCAGTCTCAAGCGCAGTCTCAGTGTGCCCTGGGGGTAGGGCCAGCATTGCACGCTGGGGATTGAACCAGGTCCCTGCATCTGCCTAAGCAGGCCTTTAATCTGCTGAGCATTCTGGCCGGCCCTGAGACAGGGTCTTGCCATGCGGTTCAGGCTGGCCTCAGACTCACTGTGTAGCCTGAGCTGCTGGGCTGGCAGCGATCCTCCTTCCTCAGCCTCCTGTGTGCTGGGTTAACAGGCATGCAGCACCATGCCTGGCTTGTCTGATCACTCTTGCCAGGAGAATTCTTGTGGAGAGCTCTGGGTCTTTTTCATGAGTGTCCTTAGTTGTGCCGTCACCGCTTCCTCACTGCCTGAGTCAATTCAGAATGTCTAGTTTTCATGTCACTTTGGCTTTGAATAAGAGCCAGAAGTCACACAATGCCAGGTCCAGTGGATAAGGCAGATGAGAATACATGCTAGTGGTTTTATTTGACGGAGATTACTGTAAACATTTGATTAATGAGGAGTGATTGTAAAATACAGAGAGTGTGTAAATTTACTACTGCAAAAGACACATTGCCCTTAGCTCTCTTGAAGATGCTGAAAATCTTCCCCTTGCTTTGGACACATTTATTTCATCATTCTTTGCAATGTGTCTTTTACTATAATGTTTTAAAAAGATTTAACCATTCAATCTGTGTCTTTCCATCACTCCTTGTACATTACATTCCCTGGAAACTATCATCACAGTCAAGGTAATGAATCATACGCGTAGTGAATTTCAGAATAAATCAGAGAAGTGACCATAAGATTATTTCAGATAATACAGGTCAAAAGTTCTCTGTTTCCTGCAGCCTTTGTCCCATAGGCAGGGACTATAAATGTTTCCATTAATTGTTTGTGCGTGCGTGTGTGTGTGTGTGTGTGTGTGTGTGTGTGTGTGTGTGTTTTGAGATACGGTCTCACCATATAGCTCAGGCTGGCCTTAAACTCACTATATAGAGCAGGCTGGCCTCGATCCTCCTGCCTCCTGAGTGCAGGGATTGCAGTGCGTGCCACCCCTGCCCAGTGGCTCCACTGATGTAAGTACAGTTTTTTTTTTTTGTCCTGGGGTTTGCCAAGCAGGCACTTGTGGCACTGCACAGTATCCCTGGCCCTTCCATTAATGTTTGTCATGTACCTTTCTAGAAATTCTGTGTATGTGTAACTTGTATTTGTAACTTTTCTCTTCCCACAAAAGTTGAGATGGTGTTACCAAAAATGCTTTACGCTATGTACTTTAAATGTGTGAATTGACCCTGGGCTTATTTCTGAATTATTTCTTTTCTTTTTTTGTACCAGGGGTTGAACTCAGGACCTTGTGCTTGCCAGGCAGGCACTTAGGCTGCTGAGCTATCTCTCTGGCCTGAATTACGTTGTGCTTTAGTGTTTGCACAGATGTCTGCTGTATGAATGCAGCATGTTTTGTTTAGCTGGGACCTGGATTTTAAACAAAACCAAACCCTGGAGTTGAGTTAAAGAAGTGTCTTGAGCATGTTCAGGCCAGGGGCCCAGGATATGGTTGCT